AGATACTTTTGTAACCCTTTCCAGCTTCATGCAAGTCAACAATTCTTGATCGTAGGTCTTCTGAGAGCTCTTTTCTGCGAGGCATGGTTCACATCAGACAGTGCTTCTTGAAACCAGTAAACCCAAAACAGGTGTGTGTTTTTTTAAGGGCAGGACAGCTGTCAGCAACACATCCAATATCATCACACTGATTGGAGTCAAGGTTGGCTCACTCCTGGCTCCAATTAGCTCTGGGAGAAGTCATTAAGCTAGGGCCTCACATACTTTTTCCTCCCTGTACTGTGAATGTTTACATGTTATGTGCAATTAAACCATGGCAACATCTAATGTTTGTGTTGTATTATGTTCAGCAGACTGTGTTCTCACATAATCCCAAGGGGTTCACATACTTTTTCTTGCAACTGTATGTGTCATCGTGAAATAATATTGATAATTATCCCAATCAATGTGATCAAATGTAAAAACTGTCCAAAATTATACAACACAAAAATAATATATTGAAAATTGCATATGGAAAAAATTAGGTATAAATATAGTCCAATCTGTGTAATTAATCCAAAAAGACCAGCATCATCAAATGGACTAGGTGATTTTCTTATGTGCTCACCTTAATTGAAAATTAGGCTACAACAGCTTTTGTCCTGAATGGACAGATGAGATATAATCCCGTGGTGGGTCTTTTTAATGTTCTTTAATTAAGAACATACAGCACATTCCACATTAATAATTATGCTACCAAAATTAGTGTGTGCTGTAAATTGCCTCCAGCATTGCTCCTGTTTCGTCTTGCAGAAGGCCGCCCTTTTGCTGAAACCCTGAGCAGTCACTTTCTTACCAGAAACTCTCCCCCATCCTTGGTCTTAAAAACTATGTCACTTTCTGTAATTAAAATGTGTGCATTTCCAGCCTTGATTGTGTGTCTTGGCTTAGCTAGAGATGAAGGCTGACAGAAGCTTTAAAAGCGCTGAAGTTCAAGTTATCAGGGAGATAAGACACTATCCTTGTAAGTTTAACTCTTTTGTGTCTCCCTGGCAGCAGAGTTTGTCTTGTCACCTCTCCTGCTTTTCTTTTCTCCCCTCCCTAATCTGTGTTCCCTCTACACAGTCTGTGTCATTCCTGCTACTTTCTTCCCCCTTCAGCAACATTAAATCTTAAAAAGGAGAAGTACAGCCAAAGCTCTTTTGGCTGTAGTTCTCCTGTGGATCACAGGAGTGCAGTACGTTCTGCACTTCTGTGACCCGTTTTTAGCTGACAGTGCACTGAAGCCTGCTGTCGGCTCATGTCAGTGAGTTGGTCTAGGCAGGAGAAAAGAACCCGATTTTAAAGTCGGGATCCACCCCAGAGTCTGGAGCAACACCTGGCTCAGCCTTTTAGCGATCCACTGAGAGCCTGAGTCAACTGTTCCCTCCCCCTCTACAGCCTAGCGCTCCAGTGAGAGCAAGGGGGGGGGGATGTTGAGAGTGCTGAGCAGACAGCGGTGACTGACAGTCATTGCTCTATGCTCAGAGCGGCTGTGAGAACTCAGCAATCAGCGATCATGTGATCGCTGAGGTCTCACACTTAGAGCCGGCATTGGACCGATTCTGCATCCACCTAGGTAAGTATAACTGGGGGGAAAAAAAAGAAACCCCTACTGCTCTTTTAAAGCTGCCAGCTGATCAGCCTCCAGTAGCTCTGATTTTAGGAACAGAACAGAATAGAGATATTAGCGTTCCGAGAACAGAGAGCAATTGAGCATGTGCACAGCAGGAAGAGACAGTATTACTTATTACACTTAAATTAATGTTTTACATAGTTACATCTGCAAAAGGGGCAGAAGATATAGTGACCATAGAGATGCATTTGGTAACCAAACAATGACACTGCAGCCTGTTCTTTCAAAGGAAAAAAAAAATGTAATTACTTGAGTCCTTGGAATCGCTTTTCCTTTCACATCTCCACCTAATTTGCCTTTATTGGTTATGCGAGCAGCTTGTTCTTTGCAGAAGCTGATGTGCCTGTCAGCCGCGTTCTCATTAAACCTCCTCTGACAGTACGGGCACTGGACATAATCTAGATCAAATAATAATAAAAAAAAACATGCAATGTCAGTTCCTATTAAAAGATTGTCTTAGGAGTAAACAATGAAGTTCACACATATTCTTCTAATAAAATATGCACGATGACGCTTTACACTTTGTGCATGACAGAGCAGATTTGTACCTTTAAGGTGGATAATACTAAAGTCTAAACATTCTTTAAACTACACAGAAGGTTGTTCAATAAAACAAAGCAATTCATATTGGCATGCACAATCCCATAAAAACCATCAGATTTAAAAGGACAATTTTTTACTACTGTGTCACTATACTGTTCCAAGGACGAAGTCTGCGGGTTTCTTACCTGGATCATATGAAGGTGGGGGTGGAGGTGGAAGTTCACCACCTTCCTTTATGATTTTGTTGAGTCCTTTAGCAGCTCTAATAGTAGCAATGAAATCATCATGCTTCCTCCTCCAGGTGGATGGTTTCTTTGGAGGTTCTGGCTGAAACAAAATTTGACAGTGCTGCTATATCCAAACTGATATAGTCTGCATGGTGCAGCTGAATGGCAACATAATAATTCGATCAAAATCCAAAGCGTCAATAAAAGTATGTAAACCATAAAATTCTGTAAAATTCTAGCTTCAATAGCCACTAACTGTAGCGGTTGCTATTCAGACCAATCCTTGTTAAATATATGTATGCGGCAGTCCAACATAAGCGTCCTTTCACATGGGCGGCCTGTTTAGCGGACCCGCTTGCTCAGCGAGGGATCTCTTCACTGATCCCTGCTGAGCAAGCAAATGACAGGTCTGTGTCCGCTCCACTGCTGCAGAGCAGACACAGAGCAGATCGCTCTTCTCAATGGGCAGTCGGATGAAAATAGATTGCCTGTCCGTTTCCATCTGACCCAATCCGACGAACGGAAAGGGAATTGGATCCCCATCCGTCCCTGTTTTACAGGTCAGATTGGATGTTGGCAATTGGATGTAAACATCCATGGAATTGGATCCCCATCCATCATTTTTTGCGAGTCATATCTGATTGGATGTCAGCGGGTGTAAAAACGGACACGTCTGTTTACACACAACGCTCCATAAAGGAGAATGAAGATTCCGATCGAGTCCACCTGAAAAAACGGGAAGGAGGACCTGATCGAAACCGTCCAAGGCGAAAGAGGCCAAAGATGTAGCTGAAACACCTACATACTGTATGCAATAAAAACCTCATTAACTAGTCTAATAATAAGCATCCAAGCAGCAGAACATGCTGCTTCTGCTAGTATATACACACACCGGTCAGCCATAACATTATGACTACTCACCATAAAACATGCGTAGATCCCCCCCCTTGACCCGCTGAGGCATGGACTCCACTAGAAAATCATCACACTGCCTCTGCTGGCTTTCCTTCTACCCACAGTACATCTTGGTGCCATCTCTTCCCCTGCTAAGCGACATACATGCACCCGGCCATCCACATGATGTAAAAGAAAATGTGTTTAATCAGACCAGACCACCTTCTTTCATTGCTCTGTGGTCCAGTTCTGATGTTCACGTGCCCCTTACAGGGCACGTGGACACTGGTCAGCATGGGTACCCTACTGGTCTGCGGGTATGCAAACCCATACCCAAGAAACTGCTATGACACCCATCAGAAACAGCATTAATTTTTTCAGCAATCTGAGCTACAGTAACTCCTCTATTGGATTATACAACACAGACCAGCTTTGGCTCCCGGCATGCATCAATGAGCTTTGACTGCCCATGGCTGTCACCGGTTCGCCAGTTTTCCTTCCTGGACCACTTTTGATAGGTCCTAACCACTGCAGACTGGGAACATCCCATAAGAGCTGCTGTTTTGGAGTTGCTCTGACCCATTCGTCTAGCCATTACAATTTGGCTTTTGTCAAAGTTACTCAAAACCCATTTTTATGCTTTCAATACATTAAATTCAGGGACAAAATGTTTTCTGGCTGCCCAATATATCCCACCCACTTTCAAATGCCATTGTAATGAGTTAATCGGTTTTTACTGGTCAGTGGTCATAATGTTATGGCTGATCGGTGTACATATACAGTTCCAAAAAAAAAAAAAAAAAAAATCAGCACAAGGGAGTATTAGTTACCTTCATTGTGATGTATCCCTTGTGCTGCTGTGTCCTGGGTTAGCAGAAATGTTCCTGCTTCAATGTTCTCCCACTACTGCCCTTTCAGGGCATCAAGGGTTAACAGAACTAAGGGGCTCTGACAGACACTCAAAAGTGCCTGATTATGCTGCCTTTTCCATCCAGCTCCTCCATTAATTGCAGCTGTACTACAGTCTCAATGAATGAAAAACGATCTATGAATAGAGGGGGTAAACCTTTCAATCATCTGTCCATACTCCATTCATAGATCTTGTTTCATACACAGACGCTGTACTACGGCTTCCATGAATGGAGGAACTGAGTGAAATAGGCTGGCATAGTCGGGCACTCTTGAAGAGTGCCTCTTAGAGCTCCCTCAGCTCTTTAAATTCCAACTGCACCATCCCAGATTACGGTGGTGGGGGTGGGGAATCAAAGGACAATTTCTGCTAATCCAGGAAACAGCAGCACAAGGGAAACATCACATTGTAATATCCCTTGTGCTATTTTTTTTTTTACGTAAACATAGGCCTTAACCCTGCCTAGTTCATCTCTGAACTACAAAACACCTCCCCCTTAGGCTATGGAATTGAGCAGATGAATAGCTGTTATGTAGCCCACATACTTCCTGTTCTAGAGTGACAACATTGCTCTTACAAATAGTATAGTGAGTGAGCATTGTCACCCTAAAACAGAAAGTGTGTTACTGACAAAATCACCAGATGCAAATTAAAGAAAAAAAAAACTTAAGAAAACTAATGCAGACATTGCATCTAAAGATAGGTAAGCTGCAATTTATTATTTTTTTGGTTTGGATACATCACTCTTATGTGAAGTCACTTACCCGCGGTTTTACTGGTTTGACACGTGAAATTTCAGTTCCCTCGGCTCGCTGTCTGCTGGAGTCAAATACTTTTCTTTTTTTAATAGCTGCTTTTTGGCAAATTGGAGCATGTTTTCTCTGCCAAACAGAAAACCAAAAAAGAATGTTTTTATTCTGTTCATGATTTATTGATACAATAGCAGGAAAGTCGTGAGCTAGCCAATTTTATATGTAAGAGGCTGAACGCGAAGCCAAAGCATAAAGACCTAACCACGGTCAGTTTGATACGTTCAGATAAAATTAAAGTATAACTAAAGGCAAAAACCTTTTCTTCATTTTGGACAGAGTGTTGAGGAACTGGAACACGTCAGGTTTTTATTGCTGTCTGTGCTCCTGTTAGGGAGATTCACCCATCCATTTGCCCTGTTTACCTTTATCACAAAAAGTAAAAGAAAATCCCAAATTTGGGGTTGACATCAAAACAGTAATAGAGGGGAAATAGTTCGATGGGGGCACTACTTCTGATGACCCACAAAGTGATCTGCTCACTTAGGAGGGATTTCCACTCACTTCCTGTATATTGACTGTGCGACAGGAAGTGAAGTGGGCTCTCTCTCCCTAATGCTGGCCATAGACGGTTCGTTTATCAGCCGATTGTTTGTCCGAAAAACAAAACATCGTTCATTCTGTAAACCGATGTTGCCACCAATGATTTCAAAAATCGGACGTTTTTTCACAAATTTTCCAGCATGACTGATAAACAAAATGAGGAGGCCGATGCCTTTGCCACTAACAGTGCGAAAATTGGCCGATTATTCTTTTGGACGAAAAATCAGCCGATAAACAAACCGTCTATGGCCTGCATTAGCCCGGCCATACATGGGTCAAAATTTGAACGATTTTTCATCCGAAAATCGGACCTAAGAACAAATCGGCCAATTTTTGCTTTGTTAGTGGGTCAATAGCACCGGCTGATTTTCATGGTTCCTCCCCTTTTTGGTGATCGGGCATGTTGGAAAATTCGTGCAAAACTAATTTTCGACTCAATGATGGTCAAATCGTACAATCGATTTTCCGAAAAGAATATGCGCATGAGTTGTGACCTGAAAGGAACAGAAGTTTTGCCTGTTATATGGGGTGAACTTTATGACTTGGTTGGCCGATTTTCGAAATCATTGATGGAAACATCGGATTACCGAGTGAAACTGCGTTTTCGATTTTCAGACGAAAAAAATTGTTCGGAATTTGAACCATGTATGGCCTGCATTACTCTACCCATAAAAAAAAAAAAAAAAAAAAAAAAAAAGGAAAGGAAGGTGCTGGGATGGTCCACACAAATGCCACCAATGATATGGCTACCCCCCAACCTGGAGAGAGTGCAGCCCCCTAACAAAGATTCCCTGCAGCGCTTCCACCATGGTAGAGGAAACACCATGACTGAGGACATGGTGGAGGAGACTTTTTAAAGCTACAGCTACAGTGTTTCCTGTAATTATGGGTGGAGCCGCACTCTCTCCAGGTGCTGTCCTGAAAAGGTATATGGGGGGAAAATTTTTTGTTTAAATGATATTAAAACTAAATATAAAATACCATAAAAAAGGAAGCCTGTAGATGCTGTCCCAGGTAACAAGGCAGCTGGGAGTTTTAAGTACCCATCATGATGAGGGAAATGTCCAACTACTTTATTTTTTTTAACATTAAAAGAACTTTATGGGTATATAGTGCGGGTACAAAGAAAAAGAGGACAAGAACATGGTACATCAATAACACATGCTGTAGCAATAGGAAATTGTAACAAGGAGCATTTCCAGAAAACATATGGAACGACAAAAAAGATTAGACAGCACACAAAACATAGGTCAAACATCATAGGAAAGTGCACTAATAGTAAGTGTCGGGGGGTAGAGTAACACAAAATTCAGTGGGGGGAACCAGCCACGAACATCGCCTTTACATCAGGTTGCGTAAGTGGCAGGCGAAGCAAGCCATCTATCCCATATCTTGTTGTACTTCGTAGGGCATCCTCTGTGGCTATAGTGAAGTTTCTTATACGGAACAGTTGAATTGACTTCAGTCAACCATGCCTGGAGGGTAGGGATGGTTGCCTGCATCCAGTGGCGTGCAAATAATTTTCAGGCACTAAACAGATTCACATAAGAGTGTACCGAGGAATTTGTCCTCGGGCAGGTCTGGGAGGAGACCAAGAAGACACACTCTGGGATCTAATTGTAGAGGTGAACCCATATGATTATGGAGGAACTTGATGATTTGTTCCCACTACATCGGAATAATTGGACAGGACCATATGAGATAGAAAAAGGTGCCAGGGTCCCTGAGGCATCTAGGGCAAAGAGGGCTCTGCTCAGGACGGAATCTAGAGACCTTAAATGGGGTAAGATAAGCTTGATGTACTGTACAGAGCTGAGTAAGTCTGTCGGGGAGTCTGGGTGAAACCAACTTGGTGCCCTCCAATATCTCATCCCAGATCTCTGTCTCCAATGGCCTGATATCTGGCTCCCTGCGGAACTTGGCCCCCTCCACTATGTTAGTTATTGTGGGAGTGTGCAAAGCAGTGTAAAAAAACGAAATCAGCTTGATAGGTTAGGTTTCAATGTTAGGAGTAGAAATAGAGGAGCCGGCTCTGGAAATTGGGCCCTCAAGGTTTGGCGGAGCTGTAAATATCTAAATAACATATAGTTAGGGAGGTCAAATTCCTCTTTTAAGGTGTGGAACGGCTTGGGCCCAGTGAGCGCAATCACCTGGTGGAGAGATACAATTCCCCTAGAAGACCAAATCTCAGGGTTAGGGATAGTGAGGAGTTCAGGCAGCCTAGGGTTGAGCCAAAGAGGATCATGCGAGTGATAAAAGGGGGCGTTCACGCGATGAAGAGCAAGCTCCCGGATACGTTTGTGGTGATGTGCTATCGTGTCGCAAAGTGCATGGGCACCAGGATGCCCGCTGTCCCACAGTGCCATCTGCAGGGGGGAAAACAAGGTACGACCAGGCTGCCCACATACCAGACCCTAATAATGATCAGTTTAGTGTTTAGCTAGGTGAAAAAAAAAATGGGATAGCTGTGCCGCAAGGTAGTATGAATGAAAATCTGGAAGGGCCGCTCCCTCATCGAAGTGGGGTTCTTGAGTACGAGCCAGGAGAGCTTGTGTCTACCCTGTGACGGGCGCGGCGTCAGACCCCAGCCCTTCTCCCCAAACTCGTGACCGAAGGACTAGCCAATCTAAAACCACGATGTCATGTGCGCAACAATGCCACACCCAGCTGCACCCTGCACACCGATTTTCCAGCTAATTGGACCACAATCCACATATCGGCAGCCTGAATGCGATTGTTACTGGGTCAGGTTAATTACGCAATTAACCCTTCACACTGCCACCACCTCCTTTTTATACAGAGAAAGAGGAAACTCAGCAATACACTAGGATGATTGGTTAATCGACAGTATACCGTTATCTCTACAGACCGGTTATACAGAGGGTTAAACACTCATAGTAGCGCTCTTCAGCGGCAGGGATTCGTAAGTCACATTAAAGAACTATAGAAACAGTTCAACACTTTCAGAAAGTAAGATTTATTACTAAAAAGGTCAAAAGGGTGCAGTAGAAATATTTACAGAAAAAGATGTAACATATATATATATATATATATATATACATACATATACACACACAGAGCACAACAGCACAGCAAACAGATAACAGAAAGAAGTTTAGGTAAATAAGTACTTGCCCACAAAGATGCCTGGGGTTAAGTAGTTTCAAGTCTGATGAGCTAAAAAGGGATTTCTGGTCTCGCACTCAAGTTTCGTTGGTACAGCGTGATTCCCCTTTCACTCCGTCTGCTAGATGTTAAAACGCAGACGGTCCTCACTTCTCTGACTACACACAAAGCATAACAGCTTCTTTTCTACAAAAATCAATTGGTATCTTCTTACAACAGACAAGCCTATTGCCTTATTTGGGAAAAGGATGGCATAGACAGCTACACTGAACGCATTCCTGAGGGAGGGGAATGAGGGGATACATGAAGACTTCTTAATACAGTGAGGGCCGTGCCTGGCTCTTGTATGCATGATTACTACACCTTTCTCCCCCTCAGGTGATGGCATAGGAGTTTAAGAGCAATACCAAAATGTAGAAGTTTGGAGCAAAATGGAGAACCGCACCTCTCCCTGTGGGCAGCATTGTGACATACCCGATCCCCAGATAAACAAGTTAAGAATTCCTTCAAGTGTTTTGAAGATTTTCAGGGGTAGCATGATTGGGGAGTGCCAGCATATATAAAGGAATTTAGGCAGGAGGATCATTTTAACTAGGTTAATTCATCCCATTACCCCCAGTGGGAGCCTTGCCCACGATTGGATGAGTGCCTTAAAGATAGTAAATAGTGGCTCGATGTTGAGCTTGGGGTAATCTTGGAGCTCCCTGCTAACAGAAACTCCCAAATATTGGATTGTAGAAACTCTGCGTAGAGGCTGGGAACCAAAAATGTATGATGGGAGGACAGGCGTCTAGGGGGAAGGATCTGCGACTTACTCCAATTGACACGCAGCCCAGAGTGTGTTCCCAAACTCCTCAATGGCCTGTAAAGCGGTGATTAGAAAGGGGCCTGTGTCAGCCAGGTAAAGAAGCACATCGTCCACACACATTCCAATGGATTGCACCAAGGAGCCAACCCGGAGGCCCCTAATATTAGGGTGTCATCTGAGCAGAGTAGCCAGGGGTTCCGCCGCAAGTGCGTAGAACAATAGGGACAGAGAGCAACCCTGGCAGGTCCCTCGGCCCAAGGGATAAACGTCTGATATATACCCGTTGACAGCCAACCTGGCAACTGGGAAATAATACAGCAATTGACCCCATTTAATGAAGTTGGGCCCAAAACCAAACCCCTCCAGACACTCCCAGAGATAGCTCCGCTCAACTGAGTCAAAAACGCTTTCGCAGAGTCAAGCGTCACCACCGCCCTAGTACCGACTTCATCATGGGAGGCTTGTATATTCATGTCTAAGCGATGAATATTCATGGCAGTGTTTTTTACCAGCATAAATCCCATTTGGTCAGGGTATAATAAAGATAGGATAACCGGATTTAGACGCAAAGCTAAAATTTTAGCCAAG